TCTCCCTCTCTCTCTGTTCCTCCCCCACTCGCACTCTGTCTCTCCTTCTCTCAAAAATAAATAAAAACTAAAAAAAAATTTTTTAATTGCCAGGGAAGAGTGCCTAGGTGGCTTAGTCTGTTAAGTGTCTGACTATTGATCTCAGCTCAGGTCTTGATCTCAGCAATCTCAGCATCTTGAGTTCAAGCCCTACGTTGGGCTCCACACTGGGCATCGAGCCTACTTAAAAAAATAAAAATAAAAATAAACTAAAATTGCAAGAGAATAAGAATCCAGATTTCCTCTTGTTTGTATTCTGATGCTTCATGCAGTATCTAAAACATTGATTGTAGAATACGTCATTGGTGAGAAACTTCTATTTCTTCCCTTGCTTGGTTTCCTTGGCTTGGGTTCCTAAGTGTCAGGAGGGGTGAGAGGAAATACAGGTTGGCTTCAGGCTTGCTGGGGAAGTTGATAGAGGAACAGAAATCTTTCATCCTGTCATGTTACCCTGGCCCAGACTTAATGGTCACTATCATTTATGGCTAGGAAATGCCTGAAGTTTATATAAGTCCGTGGCCTTTAGGCTTCACCTCATTTACATAAATAGTGAAAATAACGAGAAATATAGTAACAATAACATTATTAAACATCTTTTTTTTTACTATATACTATGCTAAGCTCTTTATATATTTATTTCACATGTCATAATAGCCCTGCAAGTTTAATATCATTGTATCATAATTTATGACTACTGTCCTTACTTTTTAGCTAAGAAAACCAAACCTTATAGAAACTAAGTAGTTCCCAGGGTGCCTGGGTGGCACAGTCGGTTAAGCGGCCAACTCTTGATTTCGGCTCTGGTCATAATCTCAGGGTTGCTGAGTCCAGGCCCCACAACGGGTTCTGCACTGTGTGGGGCCTGCTTAGGATTCTCTCTCTGCTCCAACCCCGTTCGTGCTCTCTCTCTCTGTCTCTCTCCCTCTCAAAATAAATAAAACTTAAAAAATTTAAAAAAAAGAAAGTAGTTCCCCAAGATGACTATGTGAGTAAGTGGCAGAAAAACCAGGCTTGTGAGTCTATAGCCTGTACTTTTTTTTTAAGTTGGGAAGGGGCAGAGAGGGTGAGAGAATCCCAAGCAGGCTCTGTGCTAGTAGCCAAATCAAGAGTTGGACGCTTAACCAACTGAACCACCCAGGCGCCCCAGTCTATACTCTGTGCTCTTAACCACCGTCCAGTATTGCCTCCATGGCAGAAAATCATGACTTTGGCTGAAATATATCTTTGGTATGGAATCTGCTGTGCCTTTGTGCAGGTATCACCTCTTCCTCAGTTCCCCCTTCTAAACAAACGTGGTAGCTATTGCACCAAGAACACACAATGCAACATCATTAGAATGAATGATAATAGAGACCCAGGAGCGATAAGTGTAACTGAAATATCTCATTAGCAGTCAGAATGTTCACGGCAGATGACAAAACTGAATCTGTAGAACCATTTACTTTCTAGATAGGGATCTGTCATGCCTCTCAGTTGGCAGAGCAAGGGATCTCCCCCTATGGAGGCAAGGGAGAACATTCAACTCCACCATATGGCCTGACTGCCGTTGGTCCCACCCAGTCAGTCCCTAGAATCTGTCATTTGTCGACTGTTATCAGTATCTTCCTTTCACTTTTCTAGGGTTGTGGCTGAGAAAGTAAAGGATGTTCTGTTTATGCGGCCCCGGAAGTACATCCGCTGCTCCAGCTCGGAAAGCACAGAACCTGGCTACATCAACATCATGGAGTTGGCAGCATCTGTGTGTCGCTATGACCTAGACGACATGGACATCTTCTGGCTCCAGGAACTCAATGAAGACCTCGCAGAAATGGGTAAGTTCTTTTCTTACAACTAAGTTATTCCTTGACTTGACTCGTGGTTTTTTTTAAGTTGTCAGGACCATTTAACTTGCTTTCATCTTGTGGCTTCTTTTCTTTTCTGGCCTTTTCATTTATTTTTCTCTTTGATCTTACCTTAATGAGGCATTTCTTGAAATGCATAAATATACTGAAATAGAGCAATAACATTTAAATCTGACCTTTTCTTTCCTTGTTCATTGTGAATAGCACAGGTCAGGGATGGCATGTAGGTTTTATAAGATTGTTTTCCAGTTCTGATTGTGAGAGTGATCATGGCTAATTGGACTCCTGGTTGAGGATTCTGAAGCTGGTGCCTGGCTCAGCCCTGAAAAACACTCTGATCAGTGGGCAGGGCCAGGGGCAGCAGCACTTCTGCCGTCTCTGCCGGGTGGACAGAAGTTCTAACTTCAGCATTAGGCAGCACCGCTGCACCCGACAGGTCGGTGTGTCCGGTGAGCCTTGATGCCAGACTTGTCATTTCCTGCCGGAAGGAGAACGAAAGGCCTAGGGCAGAACTTCCCCTAAACAGTTCTCAGCTATCTCACTGCCTTTATCGAGTTCTGAAGTTGTCATGCAGGTCTCGAAAAATAAAATTCAATGAAGCAAAGGCAAGCAAACAAACAAACAAACAAAACTTGGAAGTACACGTAATAATAGTGGTAAAGTGATGGTATGCCGTACCGTACCATGCCGGCAGTGCTGGGAAATGCTAGGCTGAAAGGAAACTCACTTTATGCTTACACACAGCTCTTTGACCAGTCTTCAGCCTGAGCGGTGTTTAGGTCCAAATGGTCCTTTGGAACTCTGTGGGTGGTTTTATTTAAGTCTCCGTAGGAGATGCGGTAAAGCATACATTTGATTGCATTTTTGCTTGAATCACGTTTATCCATTGTTAGCACAACAAGGATCAGCGGTTCTCCTTTTCTTCCCTCCCTCCCCTTTTTTTCTTTCTTTTGAGGTTGGTGTCTGAATGCATGTGAATAAAAACTTAACATCGTATTGCATCCGGTTTGGCATGATGGTGGCAGTTATTCTGTCAGTAACCAGTACTTCTTGCTTTTGAAAACTTTTTACTGTATGTCTTCTCTTGCTCTGCCTTCCAAAAGGAGAGAATGGGTGTCAGTTTAGGGTGAGAACCACAAAGGGAAGAGAATGAAAGACTGACAGAGGGGGTAAGTCAGAGTATGAGAGCTTAATCGAGTGGATTGACGGTTCAGCGTGCAGTTGTGCTTAGGAACCCTATGACATCTATATACATCATGATCATTCCAGGCCTGCCTTCGGCATGACGCCACCTGATGACGAGGTCCCTTTGGTATTTTGCAGTTAATTCCCTTTGGATGATTTTTTTATGGCCTTTTTTTATTTTAGAGTAGTTTTAGATTTACAGAAAAGTTGTAGACGTAATACAGTTGCCATGTACCCCTCACACAGTTTCAGTTTCCCCTAATGTGAATAATGTCTCACTTGCCCACAGTACGTTTGTCAAAGCTAAGGAACCAACACAGGTACATTACTATCATCTAAATTCTAGACTTTATTGAGGTTTCATCAGTTCTTCCACTAATGATCTTTTTCTGTTCCAGGATCCCATCCAAGACACCACATTGCATTTAGGCTTGGAAGAATTTTAAAAAAGGATTGCCTTATCTCAAGTCTTACTCTTTAGAGTAAATGATATTGTAGTGAGGCTTATAAAAGCTTAAAATAAACTTGTAAAACCAACATTAAATTAAGCATATTTTTTGGTTCAGATTAAGGAGTTTTAAAAATTGAGTGCTTACTACATAGCAGGCACTATACTAAGCAGTGTACAAACATTACCTCATCTCAGCCTCACAAGAAATCAGTGAGTTTATATTATTGTCCTTATTTTATAGATAAGGAAACTAAGCCCTGAAGAGGATAAATAACTTGTCAGAGTTTACGTAACCAATATGGGGTCAAGTGGAATATCCTCCTCCACGCCAGGAAAAAAAAAAAAGTGTGTAATTTGTCTTGGCTGGAAAAAGGAAGCATACTGCCTAGGTGGTTTTTGCTTTCATAAGTAGCTACGACACTAAAAAGGTTGTTTTGGAATTCCAGAGTCTCTTAGTATAGCTTATATTACAAATGAAGTAGAATACTTGGGTAAATTTGTTTGAATCATTGTCAGAATTGTTCCTGAGTTTACAAGCTGTTAAATATGTATGTGCTCTCACTAAATCATTAGTCCCCCCAGAAAGAAGTATGTTTAGTTGTTGCCACCGTCCACCATACGAATCTTTTAGTTGGGTTTATTAAGTTGGTTTTGTTTAATTACAAGTTTTATTTAATTAAAAGTATAGAAGGAAAAGGAATCAAGAGGCAAAAAAAGGTAATTTCAGAATTTACAGCTAGACCTTTGTGGATGCTAATAGGTTTATTTTATATATATAGTTTGCCGTTGGAAAATATTATTGGGTATTCTCAAAAGTCGGGCTTGAAAAACAAAATGTTTCATGTGTACAATGACATTTACAGAACCTAGAATTTTCTTTTATGACTTAGTACCTTTTTATGTGAAAATGTCCTCATATAATCATTCGATGGGACTCATTTGCTAAGAATGAATTATTATTTATGTCCAAATAGTTATGTGATCCTAGTTATCTTATTAAGCTGTAAAGTGTTCAAAATTACAAAGCTCAGTAGGAACTTCTCCCTCAGTGGGAATAAGAGAAAACAGATTTAGGAGGAGACTGGTTAGGATGTAGACAGAAAACTGAAAGAGTCAGTAATACATCTTACAAGGAATGTGGTGAAATGTATTTCTCCTTTCATGTGTCAAATACTAATACGTGATGATAGGTAAATATTAGAATAGCTCTAGTAAAAGATTCTTTGAAATCTGGTTGTTTTAGATCAGGGAAGAGATGGTTTTATCTTTTAGAATCCCTCCATCCTTGCACCGGGCTCACAGTAGGTGATTTGGGAATGACAGCTGACTGATGGGTTGATTGATTGTTTGTATTTCTGTGCAGGTTGTGGGCCAGTTGATGAGAATCTTATGGAAAAGACAGTAGAAGTCCTGGAACGCCATTGCCATGAAAATATGAACCATGCTATTAAGACAGAGGAAGGGCTAGGCATAGAGTATGATGAAGATGTGATCTGTGATGTGTGCCGGTCTCCAGACAGTGAAGAAGGGAATGATATGGTGTTCTGTGATAAGTGTAACATCTGTGTACATCAGGTTAGTGAGAGTGGAGACCACCGCCTCCCCACGGTCAGCCTTTCTGAAACTCAGTGATGGTCTCCAGCACCCATATCTGGGTAGCAGTTTGCATTTAAGGGGGAAAACAAAGATTTGGCCTGGCTGTTCTTCAGTAATTCCTTTAGAAACAATACTTGTGATCCCCAAGGTGACTGACTTACTAACTTTACCCCAGGGGGCTAAACCCAGATCTTTTATCGTGTCCCCTCATACCCGTGCTGTTGAGATTGCCTCGTTTGATACTTTTACCGTCCCCTGGGGGAGTCTCCTTGCTGCTGCCCGGGAGTCTCTCTTCTGCCTTGGAATCCCTGCATGGTCAGTAACCTTGGTGAGTTTACACTTCCTACAGCTGGAAGTCCAGACTCTTTTTGCTAGCACCCAGAGCCCTCTCCAGTCGCCCTGAAAAAGAACCCCCAGGAAGCTGAGTCCAATACACTTCTAAAGATCATAGAATTTTAAGACTGCAAAAAACTATCCCACTCCTCAGTTTTATGGATAATACCAGGAGAGATGAAATGACTTTACCCAAGCTCTTCCAGTTGGTTGACAGTTATTTGTCATCCTTTCTACCATAATGCCTTCTTCATTAATTATTAATGATGATGATGGTGATGATATCAACATTCTTTTTGGCTCTTTCCTTTTCTTCCTCCCATAATCCCTATCCTCCAGCAAAATAAGGTTACTTAAGGGGGGCAGTGATGACTATTCCTGACACCGTCCTGTCTCCATGTTTCAGCCACACCCCAACTTAAAATGCTTTCTCCCACCTCCATCTATGAAAAATCTATGTATCTTCCAAGATCTAGTTTAAGTCTTGTCGTGAACGCCCCTACCCTAAGTGATTTTTCACTCTTCTGAACCTGTTGTGTATCTCATTGATTTCATTAATTTATCTAGCAAATAGGTATGCAGCACCATCCATGTGCCAGGACTTACGCCACATGCTGAAGACTCAGTCAGTGATGAAGAGGCAGACATGGCCTTTGCTCCCAGGGTTATCAGAGTCTGGTGTAGAGGCTACATGGAAACTGCCCAGTTAGCACAATACGCCAGGTGTTTTTGTAGACAGAAGTTCCATGCTGCCGTGTAAGTGCATGGGAGGGATGGAGATCAGGGACAACTTCCAAGAGGTGGCATCCAAGCTGAATCTAAATGCCACATACAGCAGCAGTGTGTGTTCAGGCAGAGAGGCGAACACATTCAGGCAGGGTAGTGGGAGTGGGCACAGTGTATCAGAGGCAACTCTGAGCTGTTCAGAGCTGCAGAGAGTGGTTGGGTGGAGCAGGGGAGGATGGAGAGCGACAGCACAGAGGGATTACAAGGGCCACGAGTGACAGGCCCTTGCTGACAAACTAGGGAACTTTGGTTTTGTCCTGTCAGCCCTGAAGGCTATGAGTTCTGTTTTAGAAAGACCACTCTGGCTACAAAATGACTAAAAAGATTAAGTAACGCACTGGGGCACCCGGCCGGCTCAGTTGGTAGAGCATGTGACTCTTGATCTCGGAGTTACGAGTGCGAGTTCAAGTTCCATGTTGGGCATTAGAGATTACTTAAAAAGGAAGGAAGGAAGGAAGGATGGAAGGAAGGAAGAAAGGAAGGATGGAAGGAGGGACTGAAGGAAAGATGGAAGGAAGGGAGGAAGATAGACAAGGTAGATAGATAGATTAGATAACACAGGAGATCAAGGGAAAACAGTGCTTAAGACTTTAATTGCCTGGGCCACCTAACCTAACCCTCTGCATTAGAAGGTACTCAATTATTCTGTGACCCAGTTGGGTCTTTTTCTTCATTTTACTTGTTTCCTTTAAAAGAGTTCATTTCAAAAATTTACCTTCACTCTACCAGTTATTGGCATTTATGTCACACCTTTAGTGAGAAAGGAAGTATCGTTTAAGTATGAACATAAGTATCTGATAGTACAAGTCCACAGTCCTTCCTCTGTAGTTCCAAAAATTTTTAAAGCTCTGAAAACTGCTAGATTTTGCTTAAGTTTAGCACCAGAACTGACTTGGGGCAATACTAGAACTCACCCAATATGAGGCTATTTATACTGTTTATCCCATTTTGCATAAATGCTCATATAGTTTGCTAGAGAAATATTAATGTATTTGAGAATACGGTACTGCCCCTGGTCCCATTGGGAGTTAGGTAATATACCATGTATGTACTTAATACTTTCCTAAGATCTGACCAGTTTTGAATTTCCTGATGTTTCTCACCCTGAATCTAATCATTTAGATACATGATTGTGGATCTATAGTAGGCTTGAAGGGAAAATAGTACAAAGGTCATCTGTGTATATTTTCTGTATTTATCCTTCACAGTAGGGACAAACACTAAGGAATTATTTTCAGATTCTTTGACTAAAAAACGAATGTAGCCTAATCTCCTCAAAGATTATTTTATCTGTTTTGAAAATATATCCAGTAATGACTATAAATGATGCCCTTTCCTCACGTAGAAAGTGATGACAATAACACCTGGCCAGGCCTTGCAGGATATAAGCTGGTATGTATTAAAGCTGAATGTTGTTGGGGCGCCTGGGTGGCTCAGTCGGTTGAGCGTCCGACTTCGGCTCAGGTCATGATCTCACGGTTTGTGAATTCGAGCCCCGCGTCGGGCTCTGTGCTGACAGCTCAGAGCCTGGAGCCTGCTTCGGATTCTGCGTCTCATTCTCTGTCTGCTCCTTCCCCACATGTGCTCTGTCTCTCTCTGTCCCTCAAAAATAAATAAAAATGTAAAAAAAAAGGTGAATGCTGGTGCCACACAAAGTTTCATATAAAAGAGATTCTTCCAAAGTGAGTATATTCACTTGAATTCTGAAGAGATACTGAGGTTAGAGCTCCCTCTGTTGACTGAAAAGTGACTTAAAATGATTTGGAAGATTCGGTTTACTCCTTAATAGAATCAGGGACATGTTGACATCTCTATTTTTTAAACATAATTTTTTTTTTCTTTACCACCACCATATTATGTCAAATGTTTGTTCCTATGCCACTTTAATACACTTGTGTCAGTACTTTAGAAGAGAGGTTTACATCAACAGACTTGAGGTTTTAACTTTAAAAATGTGAAAATCAGGACCATTCCAAGTCCCTTTGTATGTTCCATTTTTTGTTTTTTAGCCCAGGTATTGAACACTCAAACCAAGGCCTAAATTAATTTGCCTGAAGTTTATGCTCATAGTTTTTATATCTGTCATATATACATTTGGCACTGAGTTTATTAACCCCCTGAAACTATATGTAACACATATGTCTGTGCACATGTGCAGTTTTCTCAGGAGAATCCACCCTTTACCATTTTGTAGTCTGGAAAAACTTGAGAACCACTGCTATGCAATACAAGCTTTTATGATCCTATGACCATGAATAAGTATATACAAGGGCTCAGTAAATGATTTTCTGCCCAATAAAAGGACCGGGAGATAAAGGGGATCCCTAGAACCACTGGTTTTTCTTTTGCTGGTCTGTAAGAGGCTCTCTTTTAGGGAAGAAACTTGCTTTCAGTTCCTGGCAAACATTCTGGACCTCAGAGAAAGAAAAGCTCTGACGGCTAGGAGCCTTATAAAATGATGCCCTACTGTTGGAAGAGCAGCCTGGTTGGAATTCAGCCTCAGTTATTGATATAAATTAATTTGTTCTACCAAACCACCTATTCGACCTCAGCATAGAAAGCATTCCAGATAAACTGGTGATAAAAGACCTACCCCCCAGTGACCTTAGAGTCTCACTGAGGAGATAAAACATAACAGCTAGAGTCGGGAAGACTACACGATGCCGCCACGTACTTGGTGAGGGAAACCATGTTGAGTAGAGGGCAAGGGTCAAGTGGAGAAGACACAAGGGGCTCTATGACCTGAGAAGTGAGGTGAGGAGCACCAGGCTTTAGATCAGGGGCTGGCAGACTTTTTCTTTGAAGGGCCATATGGTAAATATTTTAGACTTTGAGGGCCGCATTCAGTCTCTGTTACGTATTCTTTTTTTTTTTTTTTTAAGATTATTTTATTTATTTATTTATTTATGATATGAAATGTATTGTCAAATTGGTTTCCATACAACACCCAGTACTCATCCCAAAAGGTGCTCTCCTCAATACCCATCACCCACCCTCCCCTCCCTCCCACCCCCATCAACCCTCAGTTTGTTCTCAGGCATATTCTTTTAAAAAAAAAAACAAACAACATTGCTCTAAAAATATGAAAACCATTCTTAGCTTGTTGGCCTTAACAAAACAGGCCTCAGGTAGTAGTTTGCCAACCCGTAATTTAGATCAGGGTGGGGGTGAGAACAGAAGGAATTTCTAGAGGGTTTGTTGCTGTGCAATGGTATGAAATCTTTGTTTTAGCAAGAAGAATATGGCAGCCAAATAGAAGAAGGATTGAAGGTGTGAAGGGGGTGGAAGAGAATTTAGGAATAAATCAATTCAGGCATAACATGATAAGGACTTGGATGGAGCAGTTGTGGTGGGGATGGAGAGGAAGGTCAGAGCCCAAGGGCCACTCTGTAGGGAGGACTGGTATGCCCCAGGGACAGTGGATGAAAGGAAGTGGATAATATGAGTACAGGAATTTCAGATCTGGAAGCTGGGAAGCATGGTGGTGATATGGATAGAGAGAGTTTGGAAAAGGAGCCAGTTGAGGGGTAACACGATAGTAACTGTTGGAACCTGAATCCGAGCTATGGCTGAACCTCCTGGGGTACGTACAGATTTTGAAGTTGCCATGGTGAATCAGTCAGTGGTGGAAAGTTTGCCAGGCCACATGGGGATCCAGGAGGCCCCCCAGGTTTAGTCTTTAATGGTGAGAGTAGAGCAGTAAAGAGGGGAAGGATGGGCGGGCGAGATTGGAGGTAGTAAAAAAGGAAATCTAGAATGTTTTCCAAACTAACCCCCACTCCCCCACCAGTAGTTCATTTATTTGTCCAAATTCATTCCATGAAGGATTTGAAGCAGCTTCTAGAACTCTGTGGAGTATTGTGATTAGTCTAATATTCTCTTCAATTCAGGATTCATTCACAAGTCCGTTTTTCTTCAACCCAAGCAAGTAATTGCTGTGATTTGCTGAGTGCCTTTTATACACCAGGCTCTGTTAGGCTCTTGAAGCATTAGCTCATTTGCTCCACAAAAGTTTCATTCTGTTTCTTTTTCAGCACTTTTTTCTTGATTACAACAGTACATGACATGTAGAAGTTATTCCGTTAGTGTATGACTAAGTATAACACATAATTTTGAAGAAGCTTTAGAAAACAGAGGCAGAAAAGAAAAGAAGTATGTAATCCCCAAACTCAATAACAGTTGGGCCAGCCTTTTTGTATGTATTTCCTTCTAGTCTTACTCTATTGTCCTTAAAGTCAGTTCTCGTAGACAGACATGCTGATCTTAGATGCTGGAAGGTGCCTTTTTTTTTTTTTTAAAGTGTTTTAAAATTACTAAATCCTGGATATGAGCTTTTGGGGCCTTATTTGCCTTTCTCCTAAAAGCAGAGAGTACTCTGTGACTGCACCAGAGCAGACATCAGCCCTGCTGAAAAGATGCTAACCATTCTCCCCTCTCCTGCTCGTGCCTCCAGGCCTGCTACGGCATCCTCAAGGTCCCAGAAGGCAGCTGGCTGTGTCGTTCCTGTGTCCTTGGCATTCATCCCCAGTGTCTGTTATGTCCAAAGAGAGGTGGGGCCATGAAGACTACCAGGACAGGGACTAAATGGGCTCATGTCAGCTGTGCCCTGTGGATTCCAGAGGTAAGACTCATCCAGGCTTGAGCCCATTTGCTCCAGGTGCACCTGTTTCCCATGGCATTCAGACTGACTCAGGCTTCATGGAGATGCTTCATTCCTGCTCCTGCTCCTGAGGTGATAATGCTTCCACTTGAGCTCTCTCACACCCTTCTTGGATGCATGTGAGCATGGAAGCCCACGCTGATTAATTTATAGATGGTGCCACCAGTGGTAGTGAATGAATTTGTATGAGAAGAGAGCCAGGATATGAGCAGATTTTTTTAAGGTGCAACTTACACTTAAAATACCAAATACTAAGTGTACAATTTCATGACTTTTACACATATCTGTAACCACAACCCAGACCAAGACAAGGAACACCTCAGAAGTAGACATAGAACACCCCAGAATGATCCCTCATACCTGCTGTCCAGTCCCTATTTGGGTCCCTATTACCATTTTGATTACTATCACTATAGATTAATCTGTTTTTGAATTTCATGTAAATGGAATCATATAGTATGCACTCTTTCCTGTCCGCCAGCACTCCATGTTGTAGTATGGATCAGTACTCATTTGTTTCTTGCTGAGGAGTATTCTGTTGCATTGATCTACCATGATTTATTTATCCATTCTCCTTTAATGGACACTTCCGTTGTTTCCAGTTTTAGGTTATTCTGGATGAAGTGAGCATTACCTCTTTTGCCCACTATGATGGTTGCCCTTTGATTTTTGAAGCCTTTTTTTAATGTTTTTTTTTTTTTTATTAAAGAGAGGGAGCACGAGTAGAATAGAGGGGCGAGGGGAGAGAGAGAGAGAGAGAGAGAGAGAGAGAGAGAGAGAATCTTAAGCAAGCTCCATGGTCAGCATGGAGCCCAATGCGGGGCTTGGTCCCATGACCCTGGGATCATGACCTGAGCTGAAATCAACCAAGTGAGCCACCCAGGCGCCCCTGATTTTTGAAGCTGTTTTCAGAGCTTAGACTCAACATTTGTCTAAGAGCCTCTTTGTTCAGAACTCCATCCCTAACTATTTAATCTGGTCCTTCAGTTGCTGATATTTCATAAGAGGCTGTGTGCTCACAAAATTGATTAAAAAGGGCTTCCAAACATTACTTCTTCTTACTTATGGCTGCTCTTTTTTTTTAAACCTGTTTAAACATCCCACGCACATCCTCTTTCCCCAACCCCTATCCAAGCCAGCACATTTGTTAACTGCAAAACAAGAGAGACTTTAGAATTCAGTTCATGGGAAAGCTGATGATACTGTATCAGTAATTCATTCTCCCTTAAAACTTCTGGCACCTGGCTGGCCCAGTGAGTAGAGAATGCGACTCTTGATTTCCAGGTTGTAAGTTCGAGGCCCACATTGGGTGTAGAGATTACTTCAAAAAATCAAATGAAAAAATAAACAAACAAACTTCCCTGGCTTTATTCTTGTTAATGACAGTTCCAGGGGAGTTAACTATCTAACAATTGAGCTTAGAGTCACATAGTTAAACTGAAAGTCCTCGATAAATACTACAGTATTCTTATGGATATAGGAATAAGTATTTTTTTTAATATTTGGATAATGGTTCCTTTTTCTTACTAAGAATGTCCAGCTCATAGACTGACATGAACTCTCAGGTTTCTGGCCTGAGAGTGACTGGTCTCCAGCAGCAAATGTCCCAACTAATAGAGCAGGCGCTCTCAGTATATAAGAGTCTAGAACATGACTCAGGAAGAGTCCTTTAAAAATAAAAGGAGCCGGGGCTCCTGGGTGGCTCAGTCGGTTGAGCATCCAATCTTGATTTCAGCTCAGGTCATGATCCCAGGGTTGTGGGATCAAGCCCTGCATTGCGCTCCATGCTGAGCATGGCCTGCTTGGGATTCTCTCTTTCCCTCTGCCCCCCTCCCCTGCTCACATTCTCGCTCTCTCTAAAATATAGAAAGAAAAGAAAAGAAAGAAAGGAAAAGAAAAAGGAAGGAAGGAAGCTGTCTTACCTGTTGACATTGCTTATTACAGTTGTTTTTAGTACCTTTTGGGCTGCTCAAGATCTCTGTGATCTTTCTACTGTTAGTTTCTGCATGTGGGTAGAACTTGTACTAGTTTAACCAGCCTTATTCAAAGTCCTTCACTTTTTAAAGTTGTATGTCTCTTGGAAACTCCTGTACACATTTGTAAGCGAGAGGGAGAACACTTTTTATCAGAAGTTGTTTGACCCCTTGTTTTCATATGGAAAAAACTGTTTTCCATCTTTTGTTAAAGCATTCTTTCAGCACTCTCCCAAAGACTAATTTCACTTTGAAGCTACTTTGGCTGAGACAGTAGAGCAAACTGATGATGGTTACATGATTTAAAAGACCATGGTTTGAAAATGTTACCATCCCCATCCTTCCTACTTACGTGCTGCGACCTCTTCATTACACAGATTGCTGCGACTTTGCAACAATATCATGATTCTTTATAAACCGAACTGAAAGGCTTGTCACTGCCTGTTTTTCATCCTCAGTTGATTAAATGACAAAACGAGGCATGTGGCACCATCTCTAACGGACAATAGATGCTAGATCTTGTGAATTTTAATTCCGTTCCTTAGTGGCTTTCTTTGGTTCCTAAGTAAAGCGTAGATATGTATCTTGGATTCATTAAGGTAACCATGTCTAGCCTCCACTCCTGCCCTCTCATCCTATATATGAGTCATGTCCGTTACTGGAAATGATCAGAGGTCTGAGCAGTGGCTAGAGACAGGTTTTATTTATTCTTGGTTCCATAGTAACCTTAAGAGATGTGGCCCACCTCATTGTCTTGATGGCCTGAGCGTCACATAACATCATTTGTGGCTTGTGAAAGGTACTTCTGGAATGCCTTGGTGCCTCTGCCTTATGGTGGTGTTTTATTTATAGGTCAGCATTGCTTGTCCTGAGAGGATGGAACCAATCACCAAGGTGTCCCACATTCCACCCAGTCGATGGGCCTTAGTTTGCAGCCTCTGCAAGGTGAAGACAGGGGCCTGTATTCAGGTAAGTCACTGAGAGAAGTGGTGGGGTGGGTACCACTGAACTGGCCAGACTCAACATCCCAGTGAGAGCAGCCTCTTAACTGAAAGTTTACTCGGGAGGCCCCCCACTCACTCCTCCTCACAGGGGCTCTGCCATGGTACAGACCATTTCTGGAGCGGTTTTTTTTTTTTTTCTGATGTTGCCTGTGGACCCTTCAGCTTATTCTTTTCGTACATAGTGGTAGTTAACTTCCATCCTTTGCTGTCGGATCTGATGAATTAGGTGATTTCTGAAGCTAGATGATACCATCCTGGGTGGAAACAAGCCATAGATCTAAAACAACCAGGCCCAGGTTCCAGGATGATTTAACCAATGACTCTGCTGCTGAACTAAGTACAACTCAATTTGGAAGGGAAAGATGCATCTGAATAGATAAATCCTGGTGGATAGGCCTGAAAGTCCTGCTCACAGGCACGTATGTTGCATACAGTAGTACAAGTAAAGTTTTCTGAGACGTCTGAGGTATAGGAATTCAGCTGCATAAAGTAGAAGTAGTAGCTGGTGTGCCCAACAGCAGCAGTTGGGTGGTCGATGAGACTGGGAGAGGCCAGTTATCTCCAGGAAAGGCAGAACGGATGACCCTTCTACTCCCCAGGCCTCCCGCATAGGAGCTACAGATTGGTTGGAGTTAGATTTGCCTGCTAAGCTTCTTCACAGAAAAGGGGCCTTATGATGTTATAGCTTAGGGACAGTGGCTGTAGGTATTTCATGAAGTTTCTTGCTGTCTGGCTCATCTTGTAGATTTCTTGCTACAGACCCGGGATCAGCGACTCCTCAGAATAACCTTGGTTCATTTACTGGGAAATGGTATTTGAAGAACACAATATGGGAGCGCCTGGGTGGCTCAGTCAGTTAAGCGGCCGACCTCAGCTCAGGTCATGATCTCACAGTTCGTGAGTTCGACCCCTGCGTCAGGCTCTGTGCTGATGGCCCGGAGCCTGGAGCCTGCTTCGGATTCTGTGTCTCTCTCTCTCTTTTCCCCTCCCCCATTCATGCTGGCGCTCTCTCTCTCTCTCTCTCTGAAAAACTGAATAAACGTTAAAAAAAATTTTTTTTAAAGAACACAATATGGACCCCAAAGGCCCTTTTAATTTTTTAAATTCATTTTTACACCTGACAGAATTGGGTACTTTGCCCTGCTTTTTTTAACTTTTTCCTGCTGATACTATTTAACTACAGCAGTTACAAAGGAAAAAAACTTGAGGGAAAACTATTCCCACGGGGTCTACTACCATAATACATTGCCTGTTTAGGTTTTCCTAAGTTCTCTCCCGGTTGTTTCTCATATGTGAGCCCCTCGGGGGCCAAGGTTGTACATCACTCTTCCATGGATTGCCCCTAGCACAAAGGAGAGTGTGCCTGCCCGTTGTCAGTGTTCAGTTAGTGCTTACTGAATAAATATATCCATACTTAATGGTATCATAGATTTATTTATAACATGCATTCTCCCCACTAAAACAAGAAAAGATTTTCCGTGTTTTTATAATTATTAGTAGTCCTTTTATAATAGCACATTGAATTTATATCCATTAATTTACTTATTTTCATTATTGTGGTACCTGCATTTTTCTCCTATCTTTGCTATTTCAAGGGATGATTTTTTAGAATAGTTAGTAATTGGTGGCATGACTGTGGAGAGAGAACACTGGCCTTAACCTTAGCCGACCTGAATTTGCATTACAGCCCCACATTACCACATTCTGCCACATTGTCTGAGTTATTTATCTGAGTTTTATCTTCCCTTATAGACTGTGAGCTCAGACTGTTTCCTCCTTAGATCCCCCAACCCCTGACATGGCGGACAGACAGTAAATATTAGATTGATGGATGGATAAAACATTCTAGAGTCGGTTTTTCATCTTCAGGGCAATCGTTCTTATTTTTATTAGAGTTTAGAGTCTGTATTTTGTAAAGACCTTACCAAATTAAGACTCGTAATTTTCTTACAAGGAATTACATTTGTTTAATTCCTTATAAGGAATATTTGAGCGCCTGATTGTGTGCCAGGCACTGTTCTAGGCACTTGGGATTTCTCAGTGAGCCAACAAAGAACTCACATTTGAGTTGGGAGAAATAGAGAATAAGAAATAGATATTAAATAGCGTTTAGAAAATGGTAAGTGCTCTGGAAAGGAAGAATGTGGACTATGGTAGGAAGAGGGAGAGTGTGGGGCAGGGGGCATATGTCACAGGTTTGTTTAAAACGAGTGGTCAGAGTAGGACTCATAGAGGTGACATTTGAGAAAAGACTGGAAGGTGAGAGAAAACGACACAGTTATTTTGGGTAAAAATATTCCAGGCAGAGGGATCAGCCAGTACAAAGGCTCTGAGATGGGAGGTGTGTCTGGCCTGTTTGAGCGACAGGAAAGAGGCCAATGAGGCTGGAATGGAGTGTGTGAATATCAGAGAGATCATATGGGGACTTGACTGGTTAAGGTAAAAGTAAGCAGGGGTTTTTTTTCTATAAATGGCCAGATAATAAACACTTTAGGCTTTGCAGGTCATATAGTCTCTAACACAACTACTCAATTCTGCCTTGAGCACAAAGACAGCCAGAGACTATACTTAGCAAATGAACATGGCTTTATTCCAGTAAAACATTATGGACTCTAAAATTTAAATTTCATATTCGTTCACATGTCATAAAATGCTCTTATTTTTTTAATTTTTTAATATTTATTTATTTTTGAGAGAGAGAGAGAGAGGCCGAGTGTGAGTGGGGGAGAGGCAGAGAGAAAGGGAGACACAGAACTTGAAGTGGACTCCAGGCTCTGAGCTGTCAGCACAGAGCCCTATGAGGGGCTCGAACTCACAATCTGTGAAATCATGACCTGAGCTGAAGTCAGATGCTTAATGGACTGAGCCACCCAGGCGCCCTGAAATATTCTTATTTTTGTTTTTTACATCATTTAAAAATGTAAAAACATCCTAAGCTGCCATTCTTAGCTCTTGGACCACACAAAAACAGCTGCTGCATGTGGTCTGTGGGCCATAGTTTGCCAGCCCCCGGGGATCTCATGAAATCTTTTGTTTTCACTCAGAGCTTAAGGGGGAATCATTGGCAGGCTTCGAGCAGACAGGTGACATAATTTGATTTATGTTTTTAAGGGATCACTCTGTGGAATGATATGTCTAGTACTTGCTTCAAAATAATCCAGGGAGCAGTGTGCTATGGGAGGTTAAAGAAAGATGAAATAAGATTGGTCATACATTAATTGTTATTGAAGCTGGGCGATGGGTATATGGGGGTTAGTATAGTATTCTCTATGCTATTATATAGGTTTTTAAATTTCCATAGTAAAAGGTGAAAAACAAAAAATAGACTGGGGCGCCTGGGTGCCCAGTCAGTTAAGTGTCCAACTTTGGCTCAAGTCATGATCTCATGGCTCATGGGTTCAAGCTTCGCGTCAGGCTCCGTGCTGACAGCTCAAAGCCTGGAACCTGCTTTGGATTCTGTGTCTCCCTCTGTCTCCGCCCCTCCCCTGCTCAAGCTCTATCTCTCTCAAAAAATTTTTTTAAAAACGTTAAAAACAAAAATAGGCTCCGGCTGCTGTATTTAGAATAGACTAGGAAGGGAAGGTTAGAAAGAGGAAAAGCAGTTAGGAGGCTGTTACAGTAATCCATGAGAGGTGATAGTGGCTTTGACTGGAGTGGTAGCCCTGGAGGTGGTGAAAAGTGATAAGATTCTGGGTGAATATTGAAGGGAGAGCCAACAGGATTGACTGAATCAGATATGAGATATGAGAGAAGGATAGGAGTTGGGGATGCTTCCAAGTTTGGGGCCCAAATGGTGGGAAGGGTGAAGTTGCCACAAACTGAACGGGGAAATCTGCAGGAGAACAGATTTGGGGGAAGAGATGATGAGTCCGGTTTTAGACACTTAGGTTTGAGGTATCTACTTGACATCCTGTGGAAATGTCAAGCTGGCAGGTGTCTGTGTGAGTGTGGAGTTTGGGAGGAAGCCTGGACTGCAGACCTGCATTTGGGAGCCAGTGGCCTATAGACGGCTTTAGCCTGGACCGGGGAGGATCACCGAGCGAGTGAGTGTAGATAGAGGGGAGAACAATACCAAGCCCTGGGCCTTGAAGCATTCCGGCGTGAAGAAGTCCAGCAGAGGAGATGGGGAAGAAGAAGCCCGCAGGGAGACGGGAGGAAAACTGAGAGTGTGTAGCAGCCTCTAAATCAAGAGAAGAAAGCATTTCAAGGAGAGGGAAAGATCTGTGGTGGAAAGAGGCTACTGAAGTAAGGTGAGGACTACAGATTGACCCCTAAATGTAGCAAACGTGATTATTGGTGATCGGGAGGAACAGTCTAGGTGCAGTAGTGACAGCAAAAGCTACGTCACTAAAGGTCAGGGCAAAGAAGGAAGTGAGGAACAGTTTGAAAAAGTGGGGTAAAGAGGTCTTTCCTTTAAGGTTAGAAGAAATACCAAGTCTGTATGTATACTTGTTAACATCTAGGACTTGCGTGAAAGGCAGTGATCCAGTGCAGAGGAAAAACTGCTGGAGTGCGGTTTTCAGTAGGTGAGAGAGGGTGGCGTGAAGTGTGCGACGGAGGGGTGGCCTTGGGCAGGAGCGCTGATAGTTCTTCCCTGGTAACAGCCTTGAAGGTAGAGTGTAGGTGCAGTATTAAGTAGATGTGTCGATGGGAATCTGCAGGAGCACTCTTTCAAGTGTTTTAATTTCCTCAGTGAGGTAGGAAGCAGGATCATCAGCTGAGAGTGAGGTCCAGAGGTTTGAGAAGAGAAGAGGTGTGAAATAGTTTTATGGTTTGGGGAAGTGTGGTGTGAGTACCGGGCTGTATGAAAGACCCTCCCTCGAGGTGAGAGGGAATGAACTTCAGGTGATATGCTGAAGTGTGTATTTTTTTCCACCTACATTCTACTTATACTAATAGAATGGCCTTTGTTTTCCATGGTTGACATTCTGGTTTTCTGGTGGGGAAGAAAGACCAAAACCTTTT